GAGATTATCCCCTTCGATCGCGCTAGGATACGACCTATATTGAGTACCACAGGTTTCTTTCTTATCTCATATCCTACTAGTTCCTATAATGAGGTGGTCTACTGCAGCATCGGCTACTTGTACGTTACTCATGTTCGGCATGCAAGGATGTTCGACAACAGGGGGTAGTAAAGGTAGTGGGAGTTTGCCATCCGCTCTCCCTGATGACCCTAACCAACCAGTGACATTCCCTGCTAGTACTCCTTTCCCACCAACTGCTAGGCCAATATCCTCTGATGCGTGTAGTGGGAATAAGATTGGTACCTATACCTGGTCTCAGAGCTATTGGAGGGAAGGTGATGATTCTTTGACCAACTTTGCTAAAAGTGATATGGGCCGTCAGTGGAATTGTGGAGATTTGTATATCAACATTGCTGATGCCTCTAACTATAACATCATTAAGGATCAGACCAAGCTCGTAAGCTGGATGAAGAAGTGGCGTCAGGAGACTGGTAACAACGGCGTCATCTGGCTTACTTATGGTGATGTTGTCGATAAGAATGGCGAGAAGATGGTGGGATTCGTGACGACCTTCGAGCAGTTCCTCATGCGCTCTGTGTCAGCGCAGACTATGGCTGAGATATCCCCTATTGGTATCAGCTTTGATGTCGAGCATATTGCCGATGAATATTATAAAGAGGCCCTCACGAAGTCCCATGATATGATTAACGAAGTGACTCAGGGTATGGGGTATCTACCTAACTCCATTTACGTTGATAGTACCATCGAGGGTGAGGAGAACTCTCAGGAGACTGAATACGTTATGCGTTATGCAGACCACGCCCTTATGATGTTGTACAGAAATGAATTAGGTGGTAGTTATGAGGATGATCTGCTCGAACGCATGAAGTGGATGATGACCGAGCAATGCACCGTATGTACTAAGCCTGGTTGGGAGGATCTCAAGGCTAAGATTACCATTATGGTCGAAGGCTCGTGTAAGATGGGGCATGGGTGTGGTAAGTTGTCGATGTGCGCTAAGGATACCTCCTCTTATCCCGACGCTAATGGTGGCATCGAGTATATATGGAATACCCTCAACAATCTGACCAAACGTATGGTAGAGGAGGGTATCGTCACCCAAGAACAGTTCGATCATCTCTTTGACGTCAATGGTACACTGTTTGCGGTCCATAACTGGGAATGGTCTCGCTGTTTTTATGGAGATAGTTACTCTCAAGACATGGGCTTCTCCGTTTGTAATGACTATCATTCTATGGCTGCTGATTGCCGTCTCAAATAGATAGATATCTATAGTACGTTATCGTTGTGCTTCGTATAGTACTCACTTTGACGGTGTTTCACTTGATGTTCTTTGTACACTGTTCACTGGGTTGTGATGTGAATATAATCCATCCTATCTTTCACATGTGAATCAGCACTCATTGTGTTGATGGTCAATGAACAACGGCAACACATAGAATTTGAGAAACGACAGAGCTTGTTATGAGCAAACATATCACATTCGTAGCAAACATCACTCAAGCACTGATCACATCTAGGGCCGCCATCTGAGAAGTCAATTCCGCATGTATAGGACTTGGGGTAGTCTACTATTGGTAACAAGGTGTACCTATAATGCACTCAACGACTCGAGAAATATGAATTTGATTACGTTGGCATAAAGTAAATGTGTCGATGATGTTTCTTCAGCACATCATCATCCACTAAGACGAGTCTATGTACTGGACAGTTAACTGGTATCTCACAGACTGGGCTGTGACACTATGGACAAATATACCTGATTGTACAGGTCCAACTCACCACCACGACACTGTTCTGAAAGGCGTATACAGAGGTCTGTTGTAGCCTATTGTGACACATACATTTCATTGGTGGATCCGTTGTACGGTTACCATCCCATGCTCTGGGAAGCCCATTTTGATGTAACTCGGGGAACTAACCCAGTATGGTAGGGTAAGATGCTCTGATTACCGCAGACTCCAGCATTAGTAGCGAGCAGATAACTTACTCTGCATTAAACGTTTGAAATGTATAGGACTACTAGCAACAGAGAAGGTGTCACCAGTCATGTCTAAAACTTTCCGTACCGCATATAATTCTGGTGATAGTGATATCACAGACACCTGGGTTGAATGATCACGTATGGCCAAGTATTGGGACATGGATTACCCACACTGAGTTGGGCTTGGTTTCCTCTATAAGCCCATCAGCACAGTCTGGTATGGGCTGCTTTCCTCTGGTAGGTGGATCTACTGAGTGCAACGAACCCCACACTATTAATACATCACGTGTGTCTGATAAGGATCGTAGTCCACAAGGACGGACAAGTTACTGATAGGGTTGAGGTCGAAGAATTGGGGGATGAAATCAAGACAAAGATGCGATACTATGAAATCTAACCTGAGATCATCAGAGAATGACTCCCGCGTGATCCCCCTGAGCTGATATCCACTACCAAGTATAGGAACCGCAGTAGGCCTCTCATCAAGGCCATTGACTACTTGTGAGCTAGTTCGCCACCCTTACCGGTAGAGACAGGGAGGACGCCATCGTAGTTCATGATTAGGCGATCTACTGAGTTGGCCGTGCCTGAAGACACAGTACTCTACTGCATCCATATTCCATGCACGATACTGGTCTTTGGTGACCATGTTTATCCAACATGGTCACCATGGCACATGGTGATCCGGACCCCTCTTTAATGCGAGATACCCATTCATGAGAAGTTCAATACTCGCTCGTCGCATATGATGGCGTCTACTGTTACGCTGGTCATTGCAAATACTCTCCCGATTCCTCCAATCATGTAAGTACCGATTAGGTGTCCGAATGGGCACACTGGAATACTTCGCTCCTGTCAAATTACTATTCCTGTACTGTCATGACGATATACATCAGGAGGAATTCGTCCACGAGGCGTCGAGTACGCATTACCAATAATACCACGGTTGGGGCTGCGGTGTGATTTATCCAAGGCCGAGCTGTTATCCAAGGCCGAACTGTTATCCAAGGCCGAGCTGTTATCCAAGGCCGAACTGTTATCCAAGGCCGAGCTGTTATCCAAGGCCGAGCTGTTCTCCAAGGCCCAACTGTTATCCAAGGCCGAGCTGTTATCCAAGGCCGAACTGTTATCCAAGGCCGAGCTGTTCTCCAAGGCCCAACTGTTATCCAAGGCCCAACTGTTATCCAAGGCCGAACTGTAAGGTCGAAGAGCTTTCAGTCGCCCTCCATATTTTGCATATTTTTTGAACGAGGACTTCTGTCACTGAAAACGGTTCCTTGGAATCCGCACACTCTCCTTAGTGAAAGGACTTTAATCCGACCAGTTCCAGAGAACGTACACAGTGCTACAGTAGTGTGTCTGATCTAACATCGAAGGGGGTGGCTAGGTCCAATCACAGCCTCAGATTCACGGATCGCTATCTGAAGTCCCGTTCGTTCTTCGTTCAAAATTCTGTGCCGACCGAAAATGCGCATATTAGGGACAGACGACTTTGTGTGTAGACCTTAGGTTGTGTAGACCTTTGGAACACTTGCTTTCTTGGTCGCTTGACATTCCTTAAACTAGGCCTTGGTTGGCTCGCCTATAGCCGTGTCGATTGGATAATCGATCCAGGTGTCACGTCACCTTCTGCGTGTCACGACCTTGGAACTCGCTAACGAGTCGCTAACGTGTCGTTACGACTTAGTCCGATCTGGATTCACTCTGGCTTGATCCTTGGCTGTTCTAGTCGACCTTTGACTGAAAACAAGCCTTGTGTTCTTGAAGTTCGCCGAAGTATCAGCAACGATCTTGGTCACTTGTAGCTCTGCAACGCGTAGACCTACATTTCTGGTAGCAGCTCCTTGTTTGCTATCACTTCGACGACCTCTTTCCCAAGCCTGGTTATCTGGTTCTGTTGTCAAGACCGACCTCTTCCTGCCTTGGTACTCTGTTCTCTATGTCTGCTTCTAGCACTGGTAACTTCCACAAGAAGGATCTGGCCATAGTCGAGGAAACGGCGAAGGCTGACGCTGAGGAGGCCCAAATGGGCGCCGAGGCAGCAGCCCTCCATACTCGACTGGCCCTGGAGCACGCCAAAGACTACAACGATCTCTGTGACCTTCTGTCTGTGAGGGCTGAAGCTGGCTCTGCGGCCGCCACTACGGCTATCGGCAACGGTAGTCGTAAGGAGGAGGTTCGCATCAGCTTGCAGATGCCCGAACGGTATAACGGTACGACTGACTTTAGTGCTTGGTTACGTCGGTACGAGAACACTGCCAACGCCGCCGGTTGGAGCTCTGGTACTAAGGCGGCCCGCCTTGGTATGTACCTCACTGACGAGTACTACGAGATGTGGGATCAGTACGCTCCCAAGGTGACCTTCGAGGAGGACAGCCGCATCATGTCCCAGATGCTGGCTCGACGTCCTGCAGACGCTCTCCTGGACAACTTCCACGATCTTCGTTGGGCACCTGGTACTAATGTCGGCACCTTCTTGGCGAAGGCGAGGCGCATGCTCACTGAGTACAATAAGAAGCTTACTGATGAGAAGAAGCTATCCGATGGTTCTCTAGACCAGATGATTCTCAACAAGCTCATCGCGCTCGCCCCAGCCGCGGCTAAAGCGGAGCTGAGAAGACGCCAGCCTTCGAAAATCGAAGAGATGGTCGACATTATCAGTGACTATACACCTGCCATGGAGATGACTTCGGCTTCCAGCCCCGCTCTGCAACAGGTGGAAGCCAAGCTCCAGAAGGTCTTGGCAGCGGTGACTACACAGACCCCCAATACTAATGCCACCATCCAACAGATGGTCGAGAAGATCCAAGATTTAGAGAACATACTTCTGAACTTTTCGAGTTTCGAGGCTCGATCTCGAATCGATTCGGTCCCAGAGGTTATACAATCGATTGGTCCAATATCGATACCGGTAACCGAGAATCGATCTCGAATCGATTCTTTCGATTTAGGGGCGCCGGTTCGATCCAAGGCTCCGGCATTTTTATGTATTTTCTATTTCGAAAAGTTGCGCACAATGGAACCACTGAAACCCGGCACCTGCTCATCCGCGCCCCTAGATTCGTCGCCCCTAAGGTACTCAATCCGCCCCTAAATTGCCCAATCTGCCCCTAAATGACTCGTACCGGCCCCTAACTTTTCAAGCTACCCGAGCGTCCCTGAAGCTTCACTGCAAGCATGTCACGTGGCTTTGTTGACTGCCATGACATCTTGAGGAAAACTCATGTGCATCACGCTTGACCCTGGCCGTCTGAAAGATACATGTTCGAACTTGACCAGCCACTGGCTTGAACGTTTCGAAACCTTGGCCGACGCAATGATCAATCTAGTTTCACATCGTTGTGTTGAGCCGTGCTATCTACTGATCTTGGCCGGCGGCCAATGGCCGCCCTGAACACGTACTGAGCGTACTGAACTCCACCACGTAACTACATTTATTAGCTAAGCATACTGGTATGGGTCACTGAGACAGAAACTGTCAGTCTCAGAGAAGCTGTAACGATAGCGGATGACTCATCCAACTTTAGAACGCATGTGGCATATTTAGGGACGGATTGAGTAATTTAGGGGCGGGGCGAAGAATCCGGATTTTTGAACCTATGCTATATGCGATAACTATTAGAGTTATTAGGCTACTTAGTAGCCGCTACTAGGGATATTGAATTTGCGGTGTGGATTATGCTCAGAAATAGTATTTGGATAATCTTCTTCTGAATTACCGAAGAACTATCTCGAGGGTTCGTCGAGGCTCGAGGCAAACGCGCAATCTGACCGAACCCGGGGAATACCATCCTTCCGACCCGGGGAATCGGCATCTGCAGAATATCTGGCTGTCGCCGCAATTGGCAGCGTGCCACAGCAAAGCGACTCGCCTCGGGCGAACAGCAAGGTCGTGCGCGGATATTCAGTATCTCGCTGATGGAGTCTATCCGAGTCAGATAATCAGACAGCCTCCCAGTGCCTGTGGCTATCAACTGAGCGGTCTAGCCTCGACCCTTACTTTTTCTTCTCGTGGAAGTGCTTTGCTAAAGGCATCCTGAATTGTTGCAATAATATGACAGGTGCTGTAGACCCTATAAGTAACCCTCAATGCTGACGTAGGAGAGCATTTCAATGAATTTCGAATTTCGAGGTGGATCGATTCCTCGAATCGAATCGATTCGTCTGCCCGCCGCAGCATCCTCGATTGATTAGCACCGAACAATCGATCGATTTTCGATATCTCGATCCAATCGAGCCTCGGTCCGATGTATGTTAGAGAAACGACTTGCTGGACAACAACGACCTTCGTTCCGTCGTCCTGGTGTCTGTGGTATCTGCCGTGGTCCCCATGCCACGAAGGACTGTGCCCAGAAGAAGTTCTCTACCGGTTGTTATCTGTGCGGAGGCGACGGACATTTAGCCCGTAGCTGCCCCACTAGACGAGGTGACGGCTCTAAGGCCGGACCTTCGTCGTCGGGAAACTAAGACGGCGGTTGACGAGGGGTCCTCAACCGCCGGACCCGACGATATACCTCTGTACGTTCGGCGCAGAGGTTGGTCTATTTTTACATGCCGAACTGTTGACCAATGTCCAAGTTACCCAGCCGCTGAAGGCCTGTATTGATACGGGTAGCTGTTTTTCTTTGGTACACCGCCGGTTCCTACCTAGTGGTGCTGTTATACTTCCCTGTAATAATATAGATTTGGTGACCATCGACCAGAAGCCATTCGGTATACTCGGAGCCTGTCGACTGAGCTTGCGTCTGTACGATTCCCCGAACCCTGTTTTTGACGCTAGTAAGCCTCACGAGACCTTCGAAATGGTGTTTCTTGTGGTCGACACCTTGGCCTACGACATGGTTATCGGCCATGATTTTATGGCACATTTTTCCGTCAACCCATCCTATGGTAGGGGAAGACCTTATCCTGTAGTGGGAAGTCCCGCTACACGCACTGCACCTCTATTGCACCCTACGATGGAAGGTACAATGGGTGGTGCTAGCCCGTCTACACAGACTATGTTGGCGACAAGCCCTACTCGAGGACGATCTGTCGGACGAACGGTACGGGATGGCCCTAGTTCGTGGGGCGGTGACGGAGATCCGGTACGGACATCCGACGAGTCCGATGTCGCCCTAACTAAGGCTTTCCAGCCTGTTTCTACCCATGCTAACCTGGTAGACTTCAAGATCAAAGGTGTGGACGTGGTTCTAGGCAAATCGGTTATTGCCGCCGTCCGACCTTCGGGCGACTCCGTGAAGTACCCCAAGTTCAGAGCCTTCACTACGACTGGTACTGAGGACACGGAGGCTTGGCCGACGCCGGGAATCTCCCCGGATGTGCTATTAGACGATGACCTTGCTATTTCCTCGGACTATGCTGTCCCCGACTTTCACGACGAGGATAAGTCCTACCCGACTTTCGAGGAGTCGAGACCTGGTGTATCACGCTACCGCTCCCTATGCGAGGAGTTTGGTGACCTTTTTGTGAACAAGCCCGGTCATTGCGACCTTGTGGACCACGCTATTATAGTGACCGATGACAATCCTATCGCCGAGCGCACTCGACCTTTGCCCCATAAATGGCGAGCGGAGATTACAGCGCAGCTTGAGGAGCTGGAGAACGACGGCTTGATCGTCCGATCCACCTCTCCTTATAAGTTCCCCTGTGTCTTCGTCCCTAAGAAAAATGGGAAGGTTAGAATGTGTGTCGACTACCGGTCGCTCAACAAGGTCACTAGGGTCGACTCGTATCCGCTACCCCGGCCTGACGATGTTCAAGAACACCTAGTCGGTGCGAAGGTATTTTCTACTATTGACCTTCGTAGCGGGTACTGGCAAATGAAGGTTCGACCTTCGGATCGGCGACGGACTGCTTTCTGTCCGGGCCCAGGGTTCCCTCTCTTCGAATGGACCCGGATGCCCTTCGGACTGTGCAATGCGCCTGCCAGCTTCCAAAGGTTGATGGACTTGGTCCTTGGGAAGTTTGACTTCGTCCGCGTTTACTTGGACGACGTTCTTGTCTTCTCGAGTTCCCTTGAGGAACACCTCCGTCACCTGAGGTTGATCTTCGAGGCTTTTCGGGAAGCTGGTCTGACCTTGGCTGGAGACAAATGCTCGATTGGTATGGACTCGGTTGTCTACCTTGGGCACCGCTACTCCGCGGATGGTATGTCTCCAGACCTGACCAAGGTCAAGGTTATTTCGGCATGGCCTACCC